TTTTGCTTATGGTTTCATTCACTGTGCAAAAGCTTATAAACTTAATAGGTCCCATTTATTTATTTTTGCTTTTATTTTTATTGCTTGGGTAGATTACCCTAGAACATTACTGAGATTTATGTCAGAAAATGTTTTGCCTATGTTTTCTATGTTTGCCTGTGTTTAAAAGGGATTGTTTCCTTATGGCCTTTAATTAATAAAGCAATGTGATTATGAGTATCAGTGGTGGCAGTTCTCACCTTTGAAAGTATGTCCAGTTTTTCTGTTGTTGTAAGCACCAAAAGTTATACTCAGGTAAGTATGGTATGGAGGTAATGAACAGATAGGCAATGATGCTTTTTGAAAGCAGTAAAATGATATTTTTTTCCTCATTTAGTTTCCAAACTGGCCCTGAAGAGTTCTAAAAAAAGTATTTTGAAGGAATGACAGCACTGCTGACAAGAAAATCAATTTAGCCCACAGAAGTTTGCAGACATGACTAACTTTACTCCAACAATACCATTTTAAGTTCAAATGTAAGTAAACATAACAAACATCCAAGACTTAAGGAAATTGTATGCACTTTCTTCCAGATGTGGCTAAAGCCCTGTAAGAGGGTAGATATACCAGAACGACCAAGTTATACTGCCCCATTGTATAAGACAAGTGAACGGAGAGGAACATTGTCCACCACTGGCCATTCTACGAATTTCGTGATTGCCATGACTCTTCCCTCTGACCAACCCAAGGAGCACTGGATTGGACGGGGTGTAGCACTGCTGTGTCAACTTAATTCCTAAATAGAAGATGCTGCTTCCCTGTTCCTACTTGGTAAATGGTTGAGCAGAAAATATTTCACTTTTTAAAGAACTCATTTGGTTTAAATCAATTTGATTAACACTATACTTAATTATAAATTCATTTATGTGCAAATGCAGCCTACTATTTAAAATGATTTGTACTTCAGCCTAAGGAAATGTTCGGACAGAGACTAAAGAAAACACTGGTATATTTGCTCTTTTTGAATAACTTTATTTTGGGAGAGTTCCATAAGCATTAGGAACACACATAAAATGACACCACTGTTGACAATGGAAAAAACAGCATTTGATCATTTCCAGCTTTATAAATTTTTAAAAAAATGATTCAGTTACAACAACAAAAAAAGTTTAGATATTTTAGCAAGTATCACCTTGCAGGACCATAATCACATTTAAGCCACTGACTGACTGTTGTTAATGGAAAAAAATTCACACTGCATCTAGTTACTATAGTATTTCTAAGCATAATCACAGCTGACTGAATGCAATGTGATAACACCAAAATTTATATGGATGTCACACAGTGACAGCATTGTACAAGTAACAGTAATGACCTCCAACAAACACATGTTAAATTAGACTGGTCAAGCTAAATGGAATGTTGGAGCCAAAGAGAAATGTAGTGGAATTCAGATTGTCTAGTAAGACTTGAAACTATACATTAGAATGATGTAAAAACTAAATACTGGTGGAACCCTAACAAAATACTAGCAGCAACTGTTACAGCCCTCTTAAAAGTTTAAAAAAAAAATCTAGCAAATAAAGATAATACCATTTTTGAGAGAATATAAACCTTTATATACTTCAGCATAACCTAGTTGCTTTAAATCAGGCATTTATTTTAAGACTGGGAGTATATTCCAGCTGTTGCTTTTCATAAAAGTTTTAAAATAAAGCAGACTTAACGCTGGAATGCAGAATCGTCCTTGGGTATAAAAACCCAAAAATGAACTATTAAATATATCTTGGTTCAGAAAGCAAGATATTTGAATCACTTGAAGTTGGCAGTACTAAATGAAATATCAGCACCTTTTAGCGAAGTTGCTTGAAGGGCCAAGCAATGAGATGAGGACTGTCCTAATTCAGTGCCCAATGCTGAAATAAATGTATATTTCTATGTATAAAACCCCTACCTGTTACAGGAGGCCATGGAGAGAGCCAGAAATAATGTTTCAAATTCAGGCATAAATTAAGGAAATAACACCTAAGCTCCCTTGCTTACAATACTCTATTAATGCCTGGATGCATGTGCTGCTCTCAAAACTTTGTTTTTTGTTTTAAAGTTCATGGAGTAAGAGACGAACTGGGAAAATGAAGAGGACTAAATGAAAACATTTTAAATGGAATGGAAAGAGTTTGGCTCTTAAGTATCTGAAGAATAAGATTTTTAAAGCAGCTACATGGGTAGCCAAGCAGATAAAAACAAAGCTGCCTGCACAGAGTTCAAATACGGTTTACCTGGCATAAATGAAGACCATGTGGCACAAGGTGTAAACAGAAAGCTACATGCATATGATTAGTGCTACAAATTATTAGGTCAAAATTCAGGATAAACATGACTTGCACTTTTCTCACAAATCTTTCACAATTATGGCAGGAGAACAGGGCACCTAAAAAATAGGAGACTAATGCCTATCAGGCACCAACAGCATATCTTGGCACAAAATGATCAAGTGATTTCAGCTGAGTTATTTAACTATCTCTTCCAAGTCAATTGGTACCACAACAGCCACGGAGATCATCCTCATAAGCGTTTCAAGTGACATTCCATGTACAGAACACGGACACGGTAAACTTGCTGCCTTACCCGTACTGCCAGCCACAGCGTGTGCTCTGAGTTCCAACGCCAAACAGGTAAAGCACTGTGTACATTTAAAACTTAAGTTTCCCACATAACTAGTTAGTACTGTTAAAGTCGGAAAACTGAATATTTAGACCACGTTCGAGTTCTTCACTTCGCTGATATTTTCTAAAGGGTTACAATTTTAACAACAACAACAAAAAAATTTTACCACATGCTCCAACCCCTCGCCCCCCACCAAAAAACCCAAAACAAAATAAAAGTTAAAAATAAAACCCAAACACCAAGAATAATATTAATACAAAGAACCATTATGAATCTTTCCTTAAACTGAAGCACACACAAATGTACAATCACAAATTTCAGTAGTTTAGGCTGCAAGTTTAAACACTATGCAAATATATACAAAAATAGTAACTCTAGATTCAAGAATAAGGGCTTTTCCCAATGCTAAATTCATACCCTAATGCAGCCTGTGCGTTCCTCTAGGTCCTACAGTCTATGCGGTTTCAAAGCTGTGTCAAGTTGATCCCTATTACCATACGCATATATGGAGCTGAATTAAAGGACACTACAATTAATTTTTAGCACAAAGAAAAGTCTGCCCAGAGTCCATTTAGGATATTTTTAAAGTTAAGTGATTTTTTTTGGTTCAATTTCTATTTCTGCATAGCCACAGAAGTTTCTACTAATAAAGAGACTACTTTAGTGTTTCATATTATTGTTTTTTAAAGTCTTAATCAAACCTATATCAACATTGGTTCACGGAGTCCCATTTCCTCCTTTCTTTATTACAAGCTTTACATTTTTGAAAGATCCCTTCACGCGGGGAAAACAGTACTGAGCACCGGTCTTTGTGGTTAGGCTCAAATCTATGAACTTGTAAGTAGTGCAAGCCACTGACTTTTCTTTGAGCGACGTGCTTACAGTACAAGGAACAGATGCAAAGCTGCAAGGCAACATTCTCGTAATCAGCAGTGATTGCTGGGAATGGTCAAAACTGGAGGTCAAACACAATTTTGTCTTCATAGAGGGCAATTACCAGCATGATGGCAAATCCAAACAGCAGTCCTAAATTCTGAAGAATGAACTGTCCTACTGGACAAAAGCCATGTTCTTCATTGTCACCATCACCATGCAACATTTCTGGAAGCTGAAAAAAACACAGATTTTAAAAGTAATTTTGTATAATGTTGTGCCTTTCCCCACCCCCACACTTTCCTACTTAAAAAAACCGATTATTACAGCATGAACTATAAATAATACAATTACTTTATTGAACCCAATGCTAACCATAATACATATTTTAGTCAAATACTGAGAAAGAAACTCTATGCTCCAGCTGTGTACTAGGTAAATGCTAAATCTGTCCCCTTCTCAACCCCCAACAATTGCATATAATATAAGTATTAGTCACTTTTTAAAGTTACCAGCCACTGACCTTACCAATTCTGACACTCACTTTATGCTAAAGTAAAAGACAAGTTATTATTGCCAATAAAACTTTCAGAAAAGAACACCATAATTCCCACATTTACTGATATATCTTAAGCTCACTGAGAAAGTAAGATTTCTTTTGGGAACATTTAATTCAAAACTGTGTCATTTCTTCACCCTTTTCCATCTAAAATTCTCATTTCCAACAGCACCTTTCATCAAGGATATACACTGACAGACAATTCCAAATTGGCATCTCTATGGCCTTAAAAGCAGCCATTACTTTCCTTCCAGTAACAGACACAGAAAATAGTATACCTAAGCTAGGCAACAGAACTACGACCAAGTTATGCACACTGCCTGCAGTGTACTCTATACTCTTAAGTGGTAACATTTTTTATATTTGAAACTTTCCAGTATCTTTAAAGGTACAGTGGATTGTATAGTTTAACTTCTAAAACACAAGCATATATTATTACATTTAAAAGTAATCCATAGTTCAAAGTATAAAAGTAAACCTTTAATATTAAATAAGATGTCCAAAGAAATGTACGTGTATTTTAAGCATAAATTCATTCTACCCAAACCTAGTCAAAATTTTGAAAGAAGTGCTATTTCCAATTCTCACATTCACTCTTCTGTTTGCTGTTTGTTTCTCAAGTTTGCAGTGAATGTCTACAGAAGGATGACACTGATACGCTACTCTCTTTAATACTAAGCTTTACTCCAAACAAGATCTTGGTGCTTTGGGGCTTAGGGAGGAGACATTTAATGTTAAGTACATAATGCCTGCTTAGGAAGAAACACCATTATTCATTATTAACGAATGAGTACAGTTAATCCGATGCCATGCTCTGGCAGTGCCAGTCTATGGAATAATCCCCTGAGGGTCCTATTTAAGAGCTACTTCCTGCTGGTCGTCCACCTGTGCAGCGTCTCTGGCAGTAGTGTGTGTTAATGGAGGCTACTGTTGTTGTCCAGTAGGGGTAAGCAGGTGTGACAAAGATCATTACAGATGACAAAGTTGAGTAACCATGACAGAGACTGTATCGTCCACAAAGCCCAGATGTTTATCATCTCTCTCCTTACAGAAAGTCCGCCAATCCCTGGATTAAGACCCAAACTGGCAATTTCCTACCTCTGGTTCTAGTAAGACGACTTTTATTACATGTTTCCCTCAAGCTTTTATTGTTACAAAAACTTTTAATTCTAACTTTCCTTAATTTTTAAGCATAAACGATTTATTGGAGGTTTCACAGAAATGTCCCCTCCAGATATGTGCACATACCAGCTGAAACAGGCACTATACCTTCCCCACGTTCAAGTCTCTCCTGAATGCTAACACCAGTACTGTCTGTCATAACCACAGCTAAGAACTAGCCACTACCTGCCTGCACGGCCGTAACTGCTACCATGCAACTGTGTTCCTGCTGGCTGACAGACAGCTGGTATCTAAAGCCCCTGAAACCAGAAACTTCCAACTGGACATCCTAAAGGAACCTCAAACTTCTGGTACTGTTGCTATCTTACTGAATGACTATAAATCAATAAAAATGTCCTCCTGATAGCCAAAGTAGTCTTTCTAAAATGAAAATTAGATAATGTCATTGTTGCTTCAACCTTTTAATGGCTCCCTGAAAATTTATGAGATAAACTCTAATCTTTTTAGCATGTCATATTGTGTGACTATCATGATCTGACCATTATCTACCTAATTAATGACTCTGTAGGTAATATTTTTTAATCCATTTTCTACTTACCACTAGAAAATATATAATTTCACTGTCATTAAAATCCCAAAATATATGTGAATAGTTTGTCCCGCTCTTCTTAAACATTTAGGGTGTTTCCAATATAATTGTGACATTATAAATATTACAGCAAAGAACACTTTCACATGGTTTTACTTTTATCTGCGTGCTCTATTAGCAGCAGCCATTTTACGTGATTTCTCAGAATACAGTCCCAGGAGTAGATTCACTGGCCAAAGGAATGATGCTACTGATTACTCGGTTTTTTATATGCCCTCTCCTCTTGCTTCCAATAAACTCTTCTACATTCTTTATGACGTGGCTCAGAATTCCTATTCCAGAAAAACTTCCCCAACTTTATTTCCTGATTTTTTAGGCAGCCTGTCTTTCTAGTTCCACAAACACAGTGCACCACTCTATCATAACACAATCCAAAGAATTGTAATTAATGGCTACTATTCTTCGCTAGGCTATAAATCCTTACTGTAAAGACTCTCTTGTTCTTTTTATGTATTTATCTAATATAAGAAATAGCTCATTCGTTCTTCATTCAACTAATTATGAACTACATCTTCTAGGTAAGTGAAATATGACAAAAATGCCTGCTCACCTAGAACTGATATCCTAGTGAGGCATAGAGTGAAGTCAATAAATAAGTAAAATTGTTAGTGTGTTATTAACAGATCAAGATACAAGTGCAAAGAAGCAAAAGTAAAGTAGGAATAGAGGATGTGAAATATCGGGGTAGTGACTTAAATTTTAGATAGGATGCCTCACAAAAAGCTAGCCAGGAGACTGTCTTAGCAAAGTAACCCACGTGAGTAGTCAGCAAGAGCCCGAACTCTGAGGCAGGGTGTGTGGTGAGGGGAAGCCAGGGAAACGCAGGAAGGGGAGGGAGAAGAAATGCTCAAGGAGGATGAAAAACCTTGAAGGTCAAAACAAGAACTTTGTGCTTTTACTCTGAATGAGAAGGAAAACCACTGAAGGGTCTGAAGCTCCTAAGTGACATGATCTAATCTTAGAAGGATCGCTTTAAAAAAATCACCTGAGCTGTGGTGTAGATAAAGAGAGTGGTGGACAGGCAATGGCAGAAGCAGGGACAACAGTTAAAAAGAGAAAGATGATGGTGGCTGGAACGAGAGTGCTGGGAGTAGAGGTGGTGAGGAGATGGAGCTCTCAGGACTCACTGACGAAACAGATGTGGAAAGACAAAGAGGGGAGAGTCAAAGAATGATACTCAGGATTTTGATCTAAGCAAACAGAAGAATAAAGTTATCATTTAAGAGATGGAGGATTTTACAGGAGACGCTGGTGCCAGGAGCTGGGTTGGCAAATATCAAGAGCTGGATTCCAAACATATTAAGCTGGCAACATCTTTTAGATATTCAGGTAAGCAGGCAGATAGGCTAATCTGGAGTTAGGGAAAAGGTCTGGGCTAAAGATGTAAACTTAGGAATTACTAGCCAATAAATAGTTAAAGCCATGAGACTAGATAAGATTGTTTAGAAGGCTTTCACCAACATTTAGAGGTAAGGGAAAAGAAGATCCAGCGAAAGTCTGAGAAAGAAAGGCCAGAAAGGTAGGAAACCAGGGAGTGGTGGTGGTACAGAAGCCAACAGACAGGAAAGCATTCCAAAGAGAAGAGAATGATCAACAGCCAAATGCTGCTGTCAGGACGAGCAAAATGAAGACGGGCAGGGTAAATGACCAGTGGACTTGGCAATATCGAGATTGATGGTAAGTGTGACTAAAGCAACGGGGCAGAGCAGTCGGAGAAGACCTGACGAGCCAGACTCATGAGAGAGGAGAACAAAGAAACAAAAAAGGGTGATTTACTATAAGACAGAGGAGAGCAATAGGGTTAGGGTGGTGGCTAAACCTCAAACTGCAGTTTATAAAAGTCCCTTTTCCTTATCTTTATAAGATGAGAAAAGTAACATAAGCTTTATATGCTGATAGGAATAATCCAGAAGAGAGGGAACAATGAATGATGCAGGGAAGAGAAGGGGAAACTTGAGGGAGGAGTTAGTGAGAGGGGATAAGTTCTAGGGAGTGGTTTGAAGGAACCGGCCTTAGCCAGGACCACAGACACTTCTTCACAGTAACAGGAACAGAGATGAACAGGTATCGATACAAGGAGATGAGTAGAAATGGTGATGGAAACAGGTTGTCTTGGTGGCTTCAATGTTCTCCATGAAATAGGAAGCAAGGTTGTCAGTTGAGCATGAGGACAGTAAAAGAAGTAAAAGAAGTCTTGGGGTGGAGGTGGGGGAAATATGGCCCCCCCTGGGTACAAAATACAAATAATTTTTATTTTTCATTTTCATATTTTCTAAACCTTCTATAATAAATAGGATTAATTCTGTGATTAAAAATTTAGGTTATATAATTTGAAATGAGACTATCTAATAGATCCTAACAGGAAAAGTGAATACAATATGTAGTTAAAAACAAAAAGTAACCAAACTGCTAGTTCTGTAAGTACAGTGCCTAACATATTTAGGATATTAAAGTAAAATTAAAATACAACTAATTGTTAAGTGTTTAGATTTATTAACTTTAAACTGAAGTTAGAAATAAAGGAAACTACATAAATCCCTTGGAATATACACCATGTCCTGCAGAAGACTGGCTTACCTAAAGGTATAGTATTTCTTTCTTGTTTTACTATCAAGCAAGCTGAAGGAATTATTTCATTAGTAATAATAATAATAAAAAAGACACTTCCACCCCAATATTACAAAACATTCAAAACAGTATAACAATTTTGTAATTATATCTTTAAACACTGTTGATTACTTTTTATAGTAACATCATTTGGTCAGAATTTTTCAGGATCTCAACCGTTTCTAAAGAAGGAATCCTCCTACTTAAATGTCTTTCCTTAATAGATTATTTAGGATATCACATGTCTTTAAAATGAGTTATATTTATTTTTATATTTATTTCAAACCACAACCAAAACTTTCTTCCATTTTTAGAAGGTGCATTCTATTCACAGATTTAGTATACCAACAAAAATATAAAATAAGCTGTCTTACCATATCCACCAAGGCTACGTAGAGGAACATGCCTGCAGTGATTGCAAAGATCCAAAGTGTGATGTTATTGGCATACTGACCAACAGCTGTGCCTATGAGCATGCCTATGTAAGCCATCATGGCAGACAGGAGGTTGTATACAATTGCTTGCTTTACAGTCATGCCTGCTTTAAGAAGAACTGCAAAATCACCTGCAGTTAAGACATAATGTGAGTTTTAAAACCACAGGATTTTATATACAAATTTAGGCAAACACCAGTAAAAAAACAAATTAAGAATGACAGAAAAAGGATAAACCTCCAATAGTTGAAAATTTTAATGAAGTTTTACTTTTAACTTATTAAACCTTAATACATGCGAAACACTTGGGTGAATCTCAAAGGCATTATGCTGAAAAGACAGTCTGAAAGGTTATACATGAGTCCATTTAAATGATATCCTCAAAAAGATAAAACTGTAGTGATGGAGAACATTCAGTGGTCACCCAGGAGGCAAGGGTAGGAAAGGGATGTGACTATAAAGGGATAGCATGAGGGGGTTTGTTGGGATGATGGAATTGTTCTGTATCCTTGATGGTGGTAGTGGTGACACAAATCTACATACATGTTAAATTCAAGGACCTGTACATCAAGAAGCAGGTCAATTCTACTGTATAATGTGAAATGTAAAATTAAGAAAAAAACAAGAAAGACAAACAAAAAACTTTGTCACTGTTCTCTTTGTGAGCAACACACAGAGCTCTGCTCTGATTTCGAGGGAAACTGGCTAAAGAACAGAGGTAACAGACTAAGTATACTGTATGCTGTTTACATTTATGTTCTCTTATTTCCAGAAGAAAAATTAAATCTTAATTCTGAAAATCCTAAAAATGTAAAAAGGAGAAAGACTTTTCTCACTCATCTGTCTAAAGTTGGAACACGAGGGAAAAAAGGATTAAATACTGCTTAGACACATTACTAGAAAGAATGAAATGCTGCTAGAAATAATAGTCTTTAAGCTTAAAAGGGTCAAAAGCAATCGTTTTACTAATTATAACAAACTTTTTTGTTTTGGTTACTAAATGTACAAACATACAATCAATTACTGAACACTCAGTATATATAAGGTACTATACAGAATACAGAGAGGAGGTAGGGACTTGTTCCTTTCCCTGAAGAAAAATCTTCCATGACTAAAAATGTATGATCTGTTGTTTTTTTTTTAAGTTATGCTTATAAGGTTCTCATTTATAACAGATAAGTAGAAGTTAACAACAAAGAAATCAATTAGTGCAAGGCACTGTTTTCCACGCTCCACTGAACTGCTACAAACGACATAATGCAGCATTATTTGGGAAAGGTAAGATAATACACCTAAGATGGTATCTACCAACAGCTTCTAAACTGCCTGCTCCAGTTTGCATCGAATACTGTTCTCCTTACATCTCTGCCTCTGATCCTTAATACTTAATTCTCCTGTTGAGACTTGGATTCAATGTCAGCTTTTCTCTCTTCTATCTCTGGAGTTTTAATTTCCTCTGTCCTTTCTTCCTCAGCCTCCTCTAAGGAAAGAGCTCCCTAACTTCTTCCTCTACAAATTTCCTCACCATACTTTCAAGAATTCACCCATCAACCGTGCTAAAGGGACATTTTCATTTAGCAGGTCACACAAAATGAGACTACAGAAGTGTTTTTTAGGTTACAAAATACAGTGGTTCCTTTTATAATTTCAAAATAGGATTTTAAAAGGAGCATCACTGAATCCTCAGTGAACGAAAGTATCATAGGTACAAACTGTATCAGCTTTGATGTCTTCCCTGATATTACTGGGTAGCAAGACGATTTACTTTCATCCCTGAATAACCAGCAAACATTACTAATTAACTAGTCACGATTCAAGATGAATTATTTTTAGTTAATACATTTTAAATTAAGGTAAAATTTACATACACAATTTCTTTTTTTCTTATGTTGAGTTCTATGAGTTCTGACAAAAGTACACAGTACATAACCATAACCTCCATCAAACTCTTTCATTACCCACCCCCCGAAAAAAAATTTCCTTGGGCACCTCACTCCTAGGCAACCAGTGATCTGCTTTCTATCCCTACAGTTTTTGCCTTTCCCAGAACATCATATAAATTGATTCATGCGGCATGTAGTTAGCCCTTTGAGTCTAGATTTTTTTCACTTAGCATAATGTGTGAACATTTATCCATGTTACAGTTTATATCAGAAAATCACTGTTTTTACTGCTAAGTAACATTCTATAAATGAACAAGTTTATTTACTCATTCACCAGCTGAAGGACATTTAGGTTGTTTCCAATTCTTGGCAATTTTGAATGAAACCACTGTTACATATTCATTAACAGGTTTTTGTGCCAACCTACGTTTTCATTTCTCTTTTATGTAGATACCTAGGAGTGGGATTTGAGCCACATGATACATGTATTTCTAATTTGTAAGGAACAGTATTCCCAACAACAATTTATGAGAGTTCTGGTTGCTCCTTATTCCTTCCAGCCCACAATCACAAGTCCAGCACCTGAAATCTCATGTGTTTATCTGCTATCCACAAAGCTTCTTTAGTGAAATGCCTGTTCAAGTCTTTTGCCCATTTTTTGGTTGAGTTGTTGATTGTCTTTTTACTGAGTTGAGATGTCTTTAAATATCTGAAAAGTTTTCTGTCAGATTATGTATTTTCCAAATATTTTTTTCAGTCTGTGACTTGTCTCTTTATTCTTTTCAGTGTCTGTACTGTGAGTTTTTACTTTTTATGAGGCCCATTTTATTACTTTTTTCCTTAATGGAGTATGCTTTTGGTGTTCTATCTACAAACAATCTGTCTAATTCAAAAAACACAAAGACTATCTCCTATGTTTTCTTCTAAAATTCTTTTATATTTAAAAATTTTCATTAAGATCAATGATCCATTTTGAGTTAATTCTTGTCTATGGTGGGAGAATTTTTTTGTTGCAAGTAAATATCCAATTATTGCAGCAACATTAGTTGAAAGAACTATCCTTTCTACATGGAATTTTCTTTGCACTTCTGTTGAATATAAGTTGCCATGTGTGAGGACTCTACTCTGTTCCACTAATTTATGTGTCTATTCTTTAACCAATATAAATTGTTTTGATTACTGTGGATTTACAAGTCTTAAATCAACTTTGGTGTACTTTTTGAAAATTATTCTGCCCACTCCTCTTCCTTTCCATAAAAATTTTTGGAAAAAACTCATTTATATCCAAAAAAGCCTGCTGAGACTTCAACTGGGAATGTACTGAATCTATAGGGAGAATTACTATCTTAAAAATACTGAGTCTTCTGGTCTGTAAATCTAGTATAGCTCTTTAAGTTTCCTTCGATTTCTCTTGTTGATGAATTATAGTTTTCAGCATACAGATTCTAAGTGTATTTTATTAGATTTAACCAAAATGGGTTTTGTTTTTTGATGTTATTGTTAACAGTACTTTAAAAAAATTTTTTATTTCCAATTTTTCATTGCTAGTACACAGCAGTATACATGTTTATATGATGATCTTGTATCAAGATGAATTACTTCATTTAAATATCTTTGTCCTAAATTAAAGATGACTTAAAGAAATGGAAAGATATCTCATGTTCTTATACTGGAAGAATTAATATTGTTAAAATGACCATACTACCCAAAGCAATCTACAGGCTTAATGTGATCCCTATTAAATTACCCAGGACATTTTTCACTGAACTAGAACAAATAATCCTAAAATTTATATAGAATCACAAAAGACCCAGAATTGCCAAAGCAATACTGAAGAAAAAGAATGAAGCTGGAGGAATAACCCTCCCAGGCTTCAGATAATATTACAGAGCTACAGTAATCAAAAGAGCATGGTATTGGCACAAAAACAGAAATATGGATCAATGGAACAGAATAGAGAGCCCAGAAGTAAAGCCACAGACTTTTGGTCAATTAATCTTTGACAAAGGAGGCAAGAATATACAGCAGAGTGAAGACAGTCTCTTCAGCAAATGGTGTTTGGAAAACTGGACAGCTGCATATAAATCAATTAAGTTAGAATACTCCCTCACACCATACACAAAAATAAACTCAAAATGGCTTAAAGACTTAAACGTTTAAGACAAAAGACTTTAAACCTCCTAGAAGAAAACATAAGCAAAACATTATCTGACATAAATCTTAGCAATGTTCTCCTAGGGCAATCTACCCAAGCAATAGACATAAAAGCAAAAATAAACAAATGGGACCTAATTAAACTTATAAGCTTTTGCACAGCAAAGGAAACCATAAGCAAAACAAAAGACAACTTACAGAATAGAAAATATTTGCAAAAGATGAGATGACAAGAGCTTAATTTCTTAATATATAAACAGCTCATACAATTTAATAAGAAAAAAAAAATCCAAATAAAAAATGGGCAGATGACCTAAACAAGCAATTCTTCAATGAAGACGTATCAATGGCCCAATAGGCACACAAAGAAATGCTCAGTATCACTAATTATCAGAGAAATGCAAATCAAAACTACCATGAGGTATCACCTCACACCAGTCAGAATGGCCATCATTCAAAAGGTTACAAACAATAAATGATGGAGAGGGTGTGGCGAAAAGGGAACCCTCCAACACAGTTAGTAGGAATGTAGTTTGATTCAGCCGTTATGGAAAACAGTATGGAGATTCCTCAAAAGACTAAAATTAGACTTATCATATGATCTAGCAATTCCACTCCTGGGCATGTATCCATAGGCTTTAATTTGAAAAGATACATGCACCCCAATGTTCACAGCAGCACTATTTACAATAGCCAAGACATGTTAACAACCTAAATGTCCATCGACAGATGACTGCATAAAGAAATTGTGGTATATTTATACAACGGAATACTTCTCAGCCATAAGAAAGAATAAAATAATGCCATTTGTAGCAACATAGATGGACCTGGAGACTGTCATTCTAAATGAAGTAAGCCAGAAAGGGAAAGAAAAATAGCATATGATATCACTTATAAGTGGAATCTTAAAAAAAAAAAAGACAAATGAACTTATTTACAGAACAGAAACAGACTCACAGACAAAGAAAACAAACTCATGGTTACTGGGGCGGTGAGGGAAGAGGGTGGGAAGGGATAAATTGGGAGTTCAGGATTTGCAGATACTAATTATTATATATAAAATAGATAAACAACAAAGTTTCTCTGTATAGCACAGGGAACTATATTCAACATCTTATAGTAACTTATAATGAAAAAGAATATGAACATGAATATATGTATGTATATGTATGACTGAACTATTGTGCTATATACCAGAAATTGACACACTATAAACTGACTATACTTCAATTAAAATTAAAATATGGAAAGAAAGAAGGCTAAAAGAAAATTTTTTAAAAATTTTGTCCTAGTCTTATCTCAGAAAATTTTTAAAAAACTCTGTCCTGGTCATATCTCAGGTTATAATTTCTCAAAGTTATTTGCATATTTCCCCCCTTCCCTTCTTAGTAAGAACCTGGATAAACATTTGAAAAATAAATCAAAGGAATATCCATACTTGGGATTTATACTAAATAAGCAGATCTATTCATCTTTTGATCCATTGATAGTCTCTCCTTTTTTCTGACAAAGGGTATCTACAGCGCAAGAATGAGGTGTACCTGCTAAAGCTGTCAAATGAATGTGATCCAGTGCTATAGTTATGTTAATATCTAATATCAACTCTTGAGATTTTTTAAAAAATATGTATACATTTTAAGGTTCTTTCTTTTTGTCTTAATGTATGTATACACATGTATAAATGTATGCAGTGAATGTTCAGTTTTCCCTGGACAATTCAGCACATTATAGAAATCTTATTTTGAATTTCTATTTAACCCTTAATACACATAAGAGGAAAGGAAAAAATGGAGAGCATTACAGCCACTCTGAGCTAAGCCTTAATAATATAGCTACATTTATTTAATCAAATGTTATTTCCTTGAAGTTGAAACACATTATTCAGTGTCAAGAAGGGAGTCTGCATCACCCATCCTTTTGGATTACCCTCAACCTCATTTCTCCTTTATTCTTATATAGATTTTATTATAAATTATTTTTCAGATGTTTATACACCTCCTTATTGAAAGGGTGGGAAAAGTGTAAAGAATAGAACAGAATAATATTGCAACTTACTTAAATTCAGCTATGCAAATTTGGCAAAAACATAACAATGAATCAGGTAATTTCATCCATTACCACACCGCACAGCAAACATGCAATGAGAGATAATGGGTTTTATATTTCCTCAGATGGTTTCAATTTCTACACATCTCTTAGAGTGAACCTTCCCAAACTGTTCTAAGGTTTAAAAGTACACTTTTTCCCATATCACATGCATAAACACATCAAAAAACCCTTCCTGGTGCCATCTGAGCAACCTGCTCAGAAGAGGAACACCATAACTTGGAATTACCGACCAGCACTACAATGTGACGTAACTACGAGAGGCCTCTGAGCAGTGCAATGCCCAGCAGAAACTCTGCCTATAACTTAGGAGTCAGCCTTCCACATCCTCAGTCCCACATGTGCAGATTGCAGCCAACCGCAGATCGGGTAGGACTGTAGGATTTACTACAGAAAAAAATCTGCATATATGTTGGCCCACACAGTTTAAACCTTGTTGTTCAAAGGTCAACTGTACATGTTTTCCCCCTTAGGGTAAAACTTTAGTTTAGAAATCTCAGAATAGTTTTAAGAATTTATAATAAAAAATTTAGCTAGGGCAAAACAGGTTTTAGATCAAATAAATTATCCTGGAATGTGACATATTATGCTACTTTCCCAACATCTTAACCTATTTAAGCAGGAAGAGGATTTCTCCCCTATCCACCTGCCACGTGTCTATCTCGGCTTCCAAGGGACTGATTTTTTTCCTTGCCTGGGAGTTCTGAGGAAGCAGCTTCCATGCCTCTCTTCACATTCTGCCCTTCCCCGGGTAAGAGTGGATAATCTAATCAGAGTAGAGGCATACATCTGGCCCTATTTTACCAAAGTGCCCTATTACTGTGCCTTAAAGGCAAAAATTGGGCTCCACAAGCATTTTTTTCCTAACTTCCCTTGGACCAATTCCTACCTTGTTAATGGATAAAAAAGCCAAGGCCTTTTTTCACATCCAGAGGAGGAAGCTGGGTCATCTCTTTATGATTTTTCTTCCCTAGGAGCCTAAGCAACTAGAATATGGGACGGTTTATGTCAATTTAGCACCAGGCATTGGGGGAAAATGCACATTCCCCAGGTCTCACTCTTTGCCTTCTGGCAAAGCTGATGTATACTCTGGACTGAGGTTTCCTCTCACAGCAATAGTAGCATCGTAATCCTTGGTTTGTGGAGTAAAAGAGGTAGAGATTTGGGGTCTGAACGTCTCACTGAGGTGTTCTGGCCCAAGCTTTCACCAGAGCTCTGCTTTGGGTATCAAGCAAGGGCCTACCTAGCCAATAAGACATGTACTGCATTTGTGTTACAAGCAGCCATCATTTCTTGTGTCACTCCTTTAACAAGAAGCTGCAGAAAGAAAAAGGAGTGAGGGACAGGAAACCAGCCATCCCTAATCTCCAAACTCTCAGCTGTCAATTCTGTGCCGAAGTGGATCATAGAGGGTTTAAGGGCAACTCAGTAAAACCACACTTAATCATAAAAAGGCCTGATACACTCCACTTAGTGGGTAGTGGGGTGGGGATGAAGGAAGTTGGAAGTTTTCCTAGCACATTGTGGATGTGTACATGTGACTATCCAAGCCTACTTCTAAGCATATTTTTAAAAAGTGAAAGGTTAAAACTATTAGGCAATGTTTCTTGTATCTAAAAACTGACAAAGTCTTGATTTGTGTTGCTACGGAAATCCAAGAAGAATTTGGCATAGCATTCTCTTACTAACAACAGAAAAGTAGTTAGAGTATGGTGTGAGATACAGTATCTGCACACAAAGAACCTGTGTTAATAAACAGGACATCTGAAATGGAAGTATACTAAACACCAAAAGAAGGACCTAGAGAAAGTAAGTGATAAACTTTAGAGGAAAGAGTAATCCAAGGCATAGGGTACTGGAGGACAGCACTGAAGTCGGAGGGAAAAAGACTCTTAACGTGATATACCCGACATACTAGGTAGTAGGTCAAGCCGACCAGGAGGAGGGTATAAGCAAAGAAACAGGTTCAGGCACCCAGAGTGCATGTTTGCTGAACTGTGTTTGGATGAAGCAGAAAACAAGCTTCAGCAAGTACAGCAAGTGAGGCTGGAAAGGTAGGTAGAAGCCTACGTGAAGGTCACTGAAAGTAAAACTAACGAACCTCAGCTTGTACTTTATATGTAAGAGAAGGGACTAAAAGACTCTGATTACATGAGCAAGTCACATCTAGTCACATAATAACATAGTCACATGGCAAGAAGATACCTCTGGCAATAGGTATGTGAGATACACTGGAACAAAATGAAACCAAAAGTATAAACACTCACTAAGGAAAACTGTCCAAGCAAAAGACAATGGAGGGTCTGGGTGAGGAATTATGAGGCATAAACAAGACATAAGACTATACCCAAGGTTGACAAGGTAAACAAAACTGTAAGGAATCAAGCCCTAAAGAATAAGCACCAAGCAAGCACTAAGAGATTTTTCTACTTTATGTAAGCAGTTAATAACTTTCTAAGAAAATTGTATAAAAAATTCTATTCAAAGTAAGCAAATAAATATACTACCAATCAAGGCAATTAAACAAATAATAGACGTTTAACAGCCAAATTTAAGAAAAATATTAAATTACAAAGAGCACATAAAGAAATTCCTTGGATAGTCAAAAAGATGGAGTTAGTTTTTTTCTTTCAAATTAACATCATCTCCATGTCACTCAAATTTTCTATGTGAATGTATGTTCACATTTTTTCCTTCTGTTTCTCAATTTATGGAAGAAGAAAACAACACATGAAGAGAATCTAAAAAACCACTGCTAGATCAATAAATGCCAACTAAAATAACAAAGAAATATCACTGTACATCTTAAAAATTGGCAAAAATTAGAAAGTTAATGCCAAGTGTTAGCCGGGATGTGGATACACAGGCCCCCTCAGGTATTGCTGGTTAGAGAGTACATGGGTTTGGTCATTCTGCATAGTGACATGGTACTCTTAGGCATGAGTATTTTAGGACCTATCAATTCTATTCCCAGGTATATACCTAAAAGATGTCCTCACAAGAGTCTATAGCACCAGGTATACAGGTGTTCAGTGCACCATTATCTGCGGTGCAGAAAATTAAAGGACACCTGGTGTTCCCAATACTAGGTGCTAAATACGTAAAAATGTGGTCAATACATACCTCCAAGTACTGGGCAGAAACAACATATTAAATTAACTCATGGTAACCTGCTTACAGTTTAAAAACGTAACGATTAGTATGATTAAGATATGAAAGAGTGTGGGCTATGACGTAATATTGCTTACATAAAATAGAAACATATACATAAAAACAGTATACATTTTTGAGGAACACATTAAAAAATTATACAATAAATAAAAGAATGATGATACTTCATACTTGTCATCAGCCTTTTTTTTATGTTTCAACATCTCTAAAAATTTAGAAGCATTTATAATTAATTTAGTCTCAGAGCTGACAAAATCTGGTTAAAATTCTAAGGTTATATTACCTAATTCATGTGGCAGTTCATGACAGAAGACAGCTATAGAGGTACTGATTCCTCCCGTCAATCCAGCACTGAAAGCTGCTCCTAAGGCGGGGAGGGAGGGAAAAAAAAAAATCAAGTGACATTTACTGATCTTCTGTTTTTAACTTTCATTAATAATGACAGGTGTGGCCTCTTCCGCCTATCTTTAAGTTAATTTCATAATGTCTGAGTGACTCACTAATCTCGCACATTATAGCTTTTGAACATATAGTGAGTGAGGTACAATAGGTGTGTGACAACCAGAGAAAGAGCTATTAAATGAAAGAAATATTCCCTATTGAATTAAATTCTCTATTTGTGTAGCCTTCTAACTCACTAATAGCTTTGAAGCAGTAACGGTTTTCAGTGTTTCAACCTTTGACTGGTAGTGAATTGCTCAATTAAGTCATATAAGTCTATAATTGCACGTGCTCTTGCATATTAGTATTTATAGATATTTAAATTTCTAGTACTCTTATCCAAACTTTTCTGGGTCTAGAGCATAAATGGCATAAGTTATTATTTGTCTGATGGTCTTGAATAATGAAATCAGAGGTGCAAGTACATTTGATTCTACAAGTAAAATTCTGTATTCTTTTTTTGGGGGGGGTGCTACTTAGGTTTATTTATTTATGTTTAGAGACAGTACTGGGGAGTGAACCCAGGACCTCTTGCGTGCTAAGCATGCACTCTACCACTGAGATATGCCCTCCCCCTTATTCTTTAAATTAACACTGACAGTCACTGTGGATTCAAAAATATGGTCTCTCTTGAAAGAAACCAAAGCCTATTTCTGAATAATTATTTAATAGAGTCTAGATCTCAAACAAAATTATGTACTGATCACATTTAATGTTCTCCTAAACAGGTAACATCAGTTTAGCAAGATTCTAATATATTTGAATTTTGCATAATGGATTGTTACCATTGTAAAATTTTTCTTCACTTTTTCAAAAATGTAAAAAAAATTCTAAAGCCAAGATTGAAATTCATTTGTTCTCATTTAGGGATGCACATATGTATCTGAAAATAGGTTAACGTAGCTTTTTCAATATAGTGAATATACCTTCATTAAGAAATCAAGTTACTAAAGAAAGTATTATAGACATTTGTTTACATGTTCAAAGAAAAACCCACTGGAGTTACACATTTATGCCCCCAAATAAACTTACTGAAAACATTAACACAGCCTTTGGAAAAGCTAAATGACAGGAATAACATATAGCAGCATATTTCGTTAAACTCCAAGATTAGTACTAAAATAGTGGAAGAAGGAAAATGGTCTTAAAGAACAACAAATTGTAACTCAAGTTTCAAGTCTACTTACCAATTGCTAAGCCATCACTGAAGTTATGGATGCCATCCCCCATGATTACCATCCATGCAATATTGGCTATTCCTGTTTCTTTCAGATCTGATCCAGAATGACAGGGACCATGGGAATGATGAGAATGTTTGTGGTGCCACTGATGATTATGCTTCCTCAGTACAGTTTTGCTCTCGTCATGGTGGTTATGTGCAGCGGCATGGAGATCATGCTCATGAATGGCATGTAATCCATCACTGTGAGAATGGTCCATGATTTTCTCCTCTTCTATACATAGGTAATTCTTAGGAGGGGATTCTTGTTGACCTTCTAAATCTGTCAGTTCAGTTTCATTAAGCCGATCTTCAGAAACAACTGAGTCATCAGTTCCTATATTTATAATAGCAAAGGACACGTTTTATCCACAAGTAAATAAATGCATATTTGCTCATTTAAACCCAGGCAAAACGGCAGTGTAATGGACATTTCCTAAGTGAACGTCTTAAAATTCCTCAGTAAATATATAAAAACAATTAAATAAATACACGTGTGCACACACACAAAACAAACAAGGGTTCTGAGAGTCCCAAAGATGAACCAGATGGTAAATGGAAGGGAACAGGAATCAACAGCAGGCAAGTGATGAGACAAACTGGCATGCATGAAGATACTGTGAAACTTAAGGAGCACATCGACAACAGCTGATGAAAATAAAAGGGTGGAACGTTAATGAGCATTTACAGGATGACAAAATAAATCCGTAATTTTTCAGAGAAAGAAGGAACTCTAAAGTTTATCTACTCTAACCTTATCATTTAAGAAAACAGACAAAATTTAAATCACTTGCATCCACTAATGCTCTACCTATCTGACAAAGGTCATAGCTAAAATGAAGTTCAAAACCCATGTAAATGAAATCACCTGATAGTTTCTTTTTTTTTAAATTAAGGTTGGTATCTCACCTAGTTTTCAAAAGCTATTTATTATGTAACAAAGATCCTAATGCTTCCCAACTTGAAGTCTCCAGTTAGCATCTAGGCTGCCCCTTTTCTGCAGAAAATCAATGGTACAATCAGGAGAAACACAAGTTCACAAAGAAAGGGGGAAAATTATATTTAAACATTATTATGTTTCCCTGAAAACTGTAAGCTACCTCCTATATCTATGATGCAACAGAGCAGACAAATGGATGGGCAGAGGTTTTAAGTACAGAGATCATTCTCCTTTAAGTACAAAGGCTGATTCTCCTTTTCCCACGTGAAAACAGTCACATACGGAGGGCAAAGGGATTACTGTATTATCAAGAAATAAAACACTAGTCTAAAGCCCTTTTTTTTGTTTCACCATTTTTCCTGTACAGTAATAAGTGCAATATATTCCTTGCCCAGTAATATAATTAACTAGTCCCACATTCTGGTATAAATAAGGCTGAAAATAACAAAAATGCTAACAAAGAAAATCACAATGAAGACACACATAAGGTAACAGAAGTTAGAAACTAATATTAAGAAGCCATAGAGAGAATAAATTTCAAACATCACAGGCATAATTTAGAAGCAGTATTTCAATTTTTATGTTTTAAAGGTTTCTCTTTAATCAGAACTGTTGTTTACCGGCAAGAGGTTTGAGCTGAAGCCAGTCAGCATCTGGTGTATTATTTAACTTATGATCTGAAAGCTTCCTTCCAATAGCTGATTCTTCTGTGTTCTGCTTCATAAACCATTTCTGTTTTCCCTGAAAAAAAAAAATCAGGTATTAGCATTAAATCTGTGGCCATAATTCGCAACAATATTCACTTGTTAGTATCTATGGGAATAAATGGTGGTAACTTTATAAATTATTTAGAAAAAGAGTGAGAAAAAATTTTTTAGAAAGTTAAGCAAGGTGTCTAACCAGATGAAAAATCCACCTAATTATGCATGTTGTTGGGTTTTTTATCCCAAATACTCAACTAAAAGGGCCAATTCATCTACTTTCAAGTTAAGAGTAGGGTACACAGTACTATATTATTATATGCAACCCAAAAGAAATGTGAGAAATATCTGTAATATGTCAGTTTAATAACCTGTGGGAATTGGAAGTTCCAAAAAACAGAAGCTTATTCCTTTGAATTTCATTCTGTGTTTAACACAATCTCACATTTCCCTATCTGAGACATAATGGACAGAGATGAGTTAAAATCCCAAATTTGCAGTTTACTTCTATGAGACTTAGACAAGTTTGTTAAATTTATTAAACCTAAGAATATTCATCTATAAAATGAAGACAAGATTTTTATGAGGATTAAATGAGGTAATGTATGAAAATGACCTATCAGTAACCAACTTAATTAACAGCTTTGCAATAAGGACAATTTTCTTTCTCATTTAATGTCCTCAATTACTAATAAATTCTAATTATTGTATTTCATTGTTTAGTTTGGGTTTTCCTATATTACCTCTTAATTGTCTGCTTTCTTCTTTTATCACTTTAACTACCACTAACAAGTCTTCCAACTTCAATTTCTACTTCTAATCAATGTGAATTTAAAAGAGGAAATAATCAAGCACATTAGAACAGTATGAAAGTAAAAGTCAGTGTTCTCTGAGAAACACTTACTGGCAGAGCATTTCCTTGTTGGTTCTGCTTACAGGCTATGAACTATGTTTCAGATGTTTAAGTCTTCTAACTGCTTCATAAATAAGCTTGTTATGGCTAGTTAATTGTATAATAGATTATCCAAAGATGACCACCACCAATTTTTTCCCTCCCAGTATAAGCATTCTTCTCTGCCCATAAGGTGGTGGAGTCTACTCCTTGGCCCTGAATTTTAGGAGGCCTTTTAACCTGCTTTGACCAACAGACCACAACAGAAGTGATGCTGTGCCAGTTCTGGAACTAGTCTAAAAGAAGCCTGGCACCTTTTGCTTTTGCTTGGTGAAGCCAGACAGTATGCAATGAAGCAGCTCAGTTTGGACTCTGAAGAGAGGCCGTGTGGAGGGGTATCAAGTTGCAGACACAGAGTGAAGCATTCTTGGACCTTCCAGCCCTGCACTGCCCAGGCCAACCCAGGTCTGCTGAGTTTCAGTGACTCACTCCAGCTGACACCGAGTGGAGCAGAATAACTGCCCAGCTGAGTCCTGCCTAAATGCCCGACAGAATTAAAAGAACTAATAAATTGTTATTATCAGCTATTAAGCTTTGGATTGTTCTGCTTCATAGCAATAGATAACAGAAACTGGGGAAACAGAAAATGTTCAAAAGAAAATAATACGGAGAAATCCTAAAGAGAAGAAATAGCAGGTTTAACATAAGTTAAGAAAAAAAAGAGGAAGGAGGAGGAGCCAATAACAGCACAAAAGTCAATGAGATGGACACAGGAAGTAAAACATCAGCTGGCATTTCGTTTAACTACTTTGGTTCTGATTGTCCATTTTCCTAAAAACTTGCCAAATCATTACCCTCAAAGTTCCAACTTGTTGAAACCAGTTGGTATCAGGTGTATTATTTAACTTATATTTTGAAAGCTTCCTTCCAATAGTTGATTCTTCTATGCAATCAAATGTCTGTTTCATTCAAGCATCACTAATTCTCTTTCTTCAAAATATGCTATATACTTTTACATTTTAGATTACTTATTGTCCTATTTATCATCAAGAAGATGCACTGATTTATCTACCCAAACTCCCTTCTTTGACATACATGAAGAATTCCTTACCATTACATTTAGAGTACCCTTCTGCAAAAAGTGTTCCTTTCAGTTTTCTACTTCCCACAATTTCAAGTTTACCAAACAAACCAAAAAAACCCCAAAACCAGAAACAAAAATGCCATGTTTTGGAGACTCTATTCTCTTACATTAGTTTACTTGATTTACTTGATTACTAGTTTTCTTCATTTCATTGTATTTTCTTCCTACAAAGTCTCCTTAATCTAAATTCTTCCAACACCATAATTAAGAAAAAGTGTAAGGCCAGAAAGCAATGATTTTTGAGTTTTACACTTCAGAAAATAGACAATTAAAAAATACTTACTCTTTGCTGTTTGTAGTGCTTAAACATTCTAATGCAATGTTCAATGATAAATAACAGGTAAATGCCTCCTAGAGCGACAAGTCCTTTCAATACAGCATCATATTCTTCCAGAAACTTCTTCGATTCGTGTCCATGAGAATGTCCATGCCCATGTGCATGTTGATGACTGTGATCATGTCCACCCTGAGACTATTAGTAAGAATAAGAAAAGCTTCTAAATGAGTAATTAAAATGTTATTTTGAAAATATAATCTCCTAGAAGACACAGAAATCCCCTAAATATTATCTCACTTAAATGTAAGTAGTCTTTCATTTAATTTTGCTAAACTCAGTGGCCTGGAAATTACTACATTTCATGGTAACTCTAAAACAAAGACTACAAACCCAGATGCCTATCTGGGTTAAGGTACATACTACAGTGAGAGAATCAAACCAGCAGTAAGGTAAGAGGGAACAATGGGTCCTCTGTAAACTGAAGTGAACATGACCCAGGTAAATGCCTTAATATTTAGTAAAACTAAAACAGACAAATTCACCAGCAAGTCACCATTTGTAACTTCCTGTAATGTAACTTTTTAAGCTGATTATATTTTTATAATATTTTTCTTATAAATGATTTCAAAATAATAAAATGCTGTCTCTGTTGAACATAAGGAAAGGTGTATATATATGTTAAATTTTCTACATTTTAAATCTTTAGCAAAAGTAAATATATGTACAGAAATGTATGTACAAAAAGTTCTTTTAAAACTGCAACATGTTCTACAGTATTAATCTTCAACAATGTAAAGATTAGACAACCGAGCTTCAGTATTTTCCTTCCTGTAACATTTATTTGTATTTTTTTCTATTTACTAGTGGTCAACAGAAAAGCTTTCTAAACCCCTCAAAGAAGGTAAGACCATTACAAAAGGAATTAGCTTGACTTAATTAACACATCTTAAGAAAAAAAGAGTTAAACAGCACTTAAACATTATTCTCATTTCAACTGTTCTTACTAGGCCCAGTTCTGGAAGACTGTCGCTATGCCAGATGGCTAGTAGAAAGGGCAGGCAGGGCGTATAAACAAAGGGGGAAATAAATAAATAATACAATAAATCAACTTAACAAAAATGCATATTCACAGTTTTAACGTTAATTTTTTTAAAGGCAATGTCATAATCGTCCTAGATCCTAGGTCTGGAATTCTCAACCAGTATAGGAGTGTAGAAGAGGGAGAGACATACACAACACATAAATACAATCCAGTCTCCCAAATAACTCCAGAAGAGAGGGGGTCAGAACTTAAAAAAGTAATCAAAACCATAATTTTGCATTTGGGGAAGAAAAGAGCCCCACTGTTTTCATAATTTGAAGTAAAAATACTAACACTGGATCAAACATTCTTAATTGGTGACAGATTTTAAAAAGTTGATAAGCAATAATTACATCTGGACATTGGACTAGGAGTGTGGGCTTATGATCGTATCATTAGAAGTGTTCCCAAATGGAAGAAAATAAGCAGCACACCAGGTGAAGAAGATAAACGGTTCCGTGTGTAAAGAGCTAAACGCCTAAAATAGTTAACTGAGTATGTCCACCTATTCCTGCTCAAATAAAGATGCCTGGGGACACTTGCCATATGCACAATCATTATAAAACCCTTTATACATTTCTTCTAATGGCTTTCTTGATATACTATAAGGATAAAAAGATAAATCACTCACTGACTTCTAAGTATTCACTTTCAGAACTGCTAATAGAGAACTGTTTAAGTTTCAGCTTTACTGAGGTGCAACTGACAAAAAATTGTAAGATAGTTCAGGTGTGCATTGTGGTGGTTTGATATGTATACACTGTGACAGGTGAAGATTAAACTGATGAGACCAGGTTTTTTTGCTATTTTAAAGTCTAATGATTCAATGTACTTCAAAAACATTGCTTAATTCAAAACCGTGCAAATGGAAAAAGAAAAACTTCATCCTATAAGCAAAAAACAACAACAGAAATATTACATTAGTATGCTACAACTTGCTACTGAAGGACCCTTTTAGCTTAAATTTTTTTTTTAAAGATTCAAAAGGTTTCTTACATGAGGCAGTAGATGAAGAAGAGCATCTCCACTCATTGTTCCTACAGCTAGTGCAACAAGGAATGTGAGAAGGAATTTGAAGCATCCTTGGTTAATAATGGGAACCAAGATCACTCCTAGCAAGGAAAGCAGGCTAATGACAGTGATAGAAATGATACCACAAATCCATGCTGTAGAAAAGAAATAATCAACATTAGTATGACAATATACACCAAAAAGGCTCCAAAGAAGAATAAACATCAGACAAATGAGTCACGGAAGACCGATTATCTTACCCAAACTATGCTTTATAAGAAGCTTTGTATTTTGGCACTGCTGTATTTAAAAACAAAACAAATAACCATATAATCAACTTAAATACTTTAAAAAAGAATTAAGAAAGTCAGACGAAGTGTACATAGTATCTTCAGTGGCCCACCTTATTAGAAACAGGGACTTAAAATGACTTAAGGCTATGATTCACTTATAATACAAATAAAATTTTACCAATGTCTAAAAGCAAAGCCACGGCAATAAAACTGTTTGGAGAATATAACTCTCCTGTGAGCATTAAGGAAGCCAAGTATCTAATGCACCATAATCTATGTAAATCTTTCTAATACAAAGTTTAAGCAACTTAACGTATCAGCCCCAAATAGAAATACAGTCACATAAGATGCAAAAGAAGCCTTATAACTGGTAGTGTTATTGTACTTCATTTCTTATTTTTACAAAGGATAATTCAGTACTATTTTTCTTGGTATCATCTCTTTTCCACACCCAATTCCAAACTCCCTTTCCTCCAATTTGGCTTCCTGTACAATTTTGCTATTACTACTTCTTTTTTTAATTTCACACTATAAAATTTTAACCGGATCAGAACACAAAAAAATGTTTTCACAATATGACTCATGAAAAAGAGGTACAATTCTATCCACATTTCTTTATCTAGGCTATTCATAAGCAGTTAAGATACTAGCAATAAATACCAATGGTTCGGGGGTGGGGCATTTTCACCTAAAATGAGAGATTACTTTCTGTTAATGGCCTAAAACAAAACAGAGATGTTTTAAGTTTAAAATTTGCTTATTTGAATATTTAGCTATAGAAAATTTCACTGAAGAGTGATACTTTGTAAAGGTTTAATCTAAAATGCTATTTTTCTAATCAAATCTAACAGGACTATAAATCTGCTGAAAGATTTTCTATCAAGTCTTATTATAAGCACATAAGGGAAAATGCATTTCTTCATCAAGATAACATAATTTCCAAAAACAAAGAAAAGGATAGATTAAAAATATATAATTTTAATTGATCTGCTAAATGCTAAACTGTATTAACAAAACTGTTTACACATTGGACATTTCAGTCACAGTATCCAATAACATTAATGCTATAGCTAACTCTTGTTAGTTAAATTAGGTCATAGAGCAATAGGTCATCTATTACTAATGGAAGCTCTGTGGTTTATCCTGTATCTAACAGATAATTACTATGATATAAACATTGGGAATCCAAAGGGTCAAATGAAGATAAAAACACACAGCCAGAGACTAAATACAGTGGCACCAATCCTTCTCACGGATTTATGGGCAATAAAGGAACAGGAACTCAGTTTCCGAGGAAACAGGATCAGGGAAAGATTCATTTAAAGGTAACACCCTGGTTAGTGGACCCAAAAATTAAAAGGAGATTCCCCTGGCTGGGACTACAGAACACAGTCAACTGAGATAAAAAACCCCGTTTTAGAAAGAAAAATACAACATCAACTAGGTTTAAAGTTTGACTTAATAATGATAACCAAGTTACTTTATTATTTGTCCCCCATATACAGACATGAACAAATCAGTAAGTGGGAGAGTCTGAGGGAAAGGTTAGAGAAAGGCGGTCCTAGCTATACATGAAGTCAAGGAGCCAAAAAAGTTACTGGCCTACTAAACCAAAAAAGGTTTGTCAAAACTACTACTGCAGTTCTCTAGCTCCAATCACGCTAGTTGGGGTGGGGGGTGAGAAACAGAAGGTACTGAAGCTGGTAATGAAAACATTAAACTGAAGATAAAATGTCTTGTCTATTAATACTTAATTCTCCCTTTCCAAATATATTTTTCCTTAGTTGGGCAATAACCTAATCTAGAAGCAATTCATCTCAAAACAATCAATCTAAAAGTAGCTTAAACCAAGAATTTAGAGAAAACTGCATTAAGCTTGGAAAAGCCAGTAACTCCAAGATACTCCGTAGCAGGAAAAATAAAAACTGTATACACTCACTAATGTAAATATATACGGATGAGGATTGACAAAACTACAGACAAGACCCCAAATATACTAGACAAAATAAGCAAATGTGATAACTTCATAATTATCAGATTCTTATTAATCAGCATTTCACCAAAAAGGCACTGGAATTATTCACCAGATTTACCCAGTAAAAGTATTTCTTATTTTATTCCTATGTTCCAATGTCCAACAAAATTCATATAACCAGATTAAGCTACTAAATTAAAATCCGTATTTGCCAGAATCTAGTTAAATAAATCTTGTTAACTTGATTTTTTTTCCCCTAGGGTTACATTATATTCTACACCTAGGAATATAAATTCATTCATTTCTGAATCTGCCTATTAAGACATTTGCAATAAATATTAAATTTCTAAATCATAATATAGAGGAAATACCATTAATTTGATACAGTAGACATTTGAGATGATTAACAACTTATACAATATAACTTAACAAGCCACTAAAATATTAGCATTACAAGCATATTTTAAGATTTGAGCTTATGAGATTATGAAATTTAAGACCCTATTAAACCAACATATGTATATTCTTAAAAGTATATTTATAAAAATCTAATCATTAAAGAGTTGAAAAATGTGATTCTATTCCCTAATCATAAAATGAATCTGAAATTCATTCTATACCTGAAAATGAACATTATTCTAGGCAAATATTTCCTTTCTAAAATTCTCATCATATTAACTCCTGCTAAGGGTGTCTTGAATGTGAAAAAAAAAGCCCAAGAGTATAAAGCCAGAAATATTTTGCAATGTTCTGCAATGATTTACAGTCTCAAATGGCCTTTAGTCAATTACTCAAAAACCAAGTTACCAAATAACAAATCAATCAAAATTAAATTCAGTGAAAATCAATTTGCCAATATGCTAACAAGTGAGCTATTATAAGTGAAGACAAATCATTGGCAAACTGACATACATTAAATTAGACAAGTGTTTACACATGTAGTTGAGGGAGGGTTTGTGAGAAAGGGTGTATTGAGTTAATGTGTGCACTACTAGGTACCTGTCAAATATTATACACTCTCGGGTACAATACCTTTATGTATCGGCTCTGATAATTGTATCTTTCTTATCCACCTGAGAAAGTGAATCTATCTGTAAACTAAGAAAAGAAATGGCTGAAGGGGAGAAGCCCACTATATAATCAGAAAATCTCTGGTATTTGTTGTATTTGGCATCTGAAACTCAGAAAATAAAGAAAATATTATAATCCCACAAAGATGAAAGCCTTACATAAATCAATCTAGGGTCATAGTATTGCCCCACTTCAAGGGCACCATTCTCACTGTATCTCTGAATGAATGCCATTACTCACAGTATAACGTGAATGATACCATTTGGAGTTATTCAACGAAATGGTATTACATTGAGCTTGGATAATTCCTCTCCAAAAAGAGTTGATACACGCACACATATTTTTAAAAAATAATCAAGGGCTTCTGGTTTATTGGTTATATAGTAAAGTGGCTATCAAGAAATTGGTTATTGAGCAACAACAAAAAACCAAGAATCAGAAAAAGACTTTGCTCTTAGATTAAAATTAAATAATCTGTATATGACTGTGAACTTAACTTCTTAAAAGAATTGTCCCATTTTTCCAACTAAAGAAAATATGTGTAACATACTTGTTACTTCAAAAGATTTTTCAAATTGGTATTTTTTTAACTGAAGTATAGTCAGTTTATAATGTTGCATCAATTTCTGGTGTACAGCATACTGTTTCAGTTATACATATACATACATATATTCATTTTCATACTTTTTCATTATAGGTTACTATAAGATTGAATATAGTTCCCTGTGCTACACAGAAAAAAAACCTGTTGTTTATTTTATATACAGTAGTTAGTATCTGCAAATCTCAAACTCCCAATTTATGCCTTCCCACTCCCTTCCTCCTCTGGTAACCATGTTTGTTTTCTATGTCTGTGAGTCTGTTTCTGTTTTGTAAATAAGTTCATTTGTGCCTTTTTTTTTTTAAGATTCCTCATATGAGCGATATCATATGGTATTTTTCTTTCTCTTTCTGGCTAACTTCACTTAGAATGACAGTCACCAGGTCTTTCCATGTTGCTGCAAATGGCATTATTTTATTTCTTTTTATGGCTGAGTAGTATTCCATTGTATAGCTATACCACACTTTCTTTACCCAGGCATCTGTCAATGGACATTTAGGTTGTTTCCATGTCTTGGCTATTGTAAACAGTGCTGCTGTGGACATTGGGGTGAATGTATTATTTGAATTAGAGTTCTCTCTGGATATATGCCCAGGAGTGGGATTGCTGGATCATATGGTAAGTCTATTTCTAGTCTTTTGAGGAATCTCCATACTGTTAACCCTAATGGCTGCATCAAAGTATATTTCTACCAACAGTGTTGGAGGGTTCCCTTTTCTCCACACCCTCTTCAGAATTTATTGTTTGTAACCCTTTTAATGATTGCCATCTGGACTGGTGTGAGATTTGATCTGCTGCGGCTGACAATGGCTTAATTTCCAGAATATATAAACAGTTCATACAACTAATAACAAAAAAACAACCCAATCCAAAGATGGGCAGAAGATCTAAACAAACAATTCTCCAATGAAGACATACAATGGCCAACAGGCACATGAAAACATGCTCAATATCACTAATTATCAAATTGATTTTTAAAAATAATAAATTCCAGGACTAAAAAGGATTCTATAACTTCTAATAACATTTTTATATATAAAATATAGACAGTACAATTGGGACTATTATAATATAGTTTAATTACTCCTCTGTGTATACACTGCCTTGATTGACAGAGTCGGAATTTTTTTTAAAATTTTTTTCAGAGGCCAACTGTTCTGCCCTTTTAAAAAAACATTTCAAAAAAATTCCTTGCTCACTTGTAGCTATTCGAAC